GGCCCGGTGGGCCCTCTAGGTTCTCCTCGAACACTGCCTCTGGCCGACTCGGGCCCCTTGACAACACAGAGCCCCTCTCAGGCGCTGTGAGGCCCCGAGCAATGTTAATTGCTGGCTCGGGCTTTGTCCCTACTTAGGAAATGGGCGCTTAGATTCATGCCACCACGTAGCCGACTGTGCGCTACCGGTGGTGTCTGACGAAATATAGGCCCTTATCGTCTCAGTAAGCCCTTGATCAGCGCGCAGGGCCCTCTGGCTGGCATTGGAATGCCTGACCCTGCAGGCCGGGTCCCCCCACTGAGCCCTCCAGCTGGTTTTCGGGCCCTTCGTGCCCTCAAATTGGGCCCTTAATCGTAGGTTCCAAGGAGCCTTTCGGGAATCTCGGAACGGGAAGGGGGGGGGCGGCCCATGAGCCCCCCCCCCCTGCCTGCGCTACTGCAAGGTAGAACACACTGTAATATGTGACATTCGTCGCTCACTGCTGACTCGCAACAACAATTTTGACATACACTTGGTGGTCCAAAAAAAACGGTTCCCAACTAAGCCAGCGTATTTTTCTGGATAGGAAAAAGGCACAGTGGTAATGTTTTCACTGGACATTCTCCAAGACATGAAAATGACACAAGTTTTCATACAACTTGATCTGCCCCACGTCACGCTCTCCTGGCCCAGGGCCGACTCACCGAACAAATTCCCGCATCTTTCGAACAGGGTCCTGTTGGAGGTCCTCGTAGTGGAGCACGTGCACTGACGTGGTGAGGTTGACCCAGTCGATGTTGAAATCACCCCAGGGGGTTGCCTTTCGCGTCTCGTAGAAATTCCAGTCTGTGAAATGACACTGAGTTAGTTCGCTGTTTGCTGGATGACCCCTGTCATTCACCTAAAAGGGGCTCTCTTCCAGGGACGTCGTTGTTCACGCGCGTCACGATCCCCATCCACATGACACACTGTGGACCGAAGGCCTGAAGTATCGCTCATTTATCCCTTAGCATCCTGGCCTGTGGTTCCGGTGAAGAATAAACCCTCCGCGGTGCACAGGCAAGCCGAGAGAAAACTTCCCCTGATCCTTCTGCAACACCGGACCACAAGGCAGCGTGCCGGGGCGGTGAAGTCGCTGTCTGACGCGTAGTACACTTGGTCACAAGGCAGCGTACCTGAGCGGTAAAGTCGCTGTCTGGCGCGTAGTACACTTGGTCACAAGGCAGCGTACCTGGGACGGTGAAGTCGCTGTCTGGCGCGTAGTAAACTTGGCCACAAGGCAGCGTACCTGGGACGGTGAAGTCGCTGTCTGGCGCGTAGTACACTTGGCCACAAGGCAGCGTACCTGAGCGGTAAAGTCGCTGTCTGGCGCGTAGTATACTTGACCACAAGGCGGCGTACCTGGGCGGTAAAGTCGCTGTCTGGCGCGTAGTACACTTGGTCACAAGGCAGCGTACCTGGGACGGTGAAGTCGCTGTCTGGCGCGTAGTGCACTTGATGTAATGTACACAAATCAAATCGTATGCAGTACACAAATCGTAATGCAGAGTTTTGAAAATAAAACAGCAATATATGTATATATACATATATACATATATACATATATATATATACATATATATATATATATATATATATATATATATATATATATATATATATATATATATCTCTCTCTCTCTCTCTCCTCTCTCTCTCTCTCTCTCTCTCTCTCTCTCTATATATATATATATATATATATATATATATATATATATATATATATATATATATATATATATATATATATATATATATATACGTTATCCCATCATCAACATATTTAAAATGTCATATCATTCCTGGGGAGCCAGATCCAAATCTGACTCTTCACGAGGCTTTCAGATCGTCGGGACAATGCAGCCAGTCATTGCCACGTGGCACTATAGAGCAAATACACATGACTATTTTGCATAGTCCTGTTTGACAGAAAATGTGATTGTCCAGGAAAGCATTGCATCATAAATATCTCGAAGCCGTAAAAACTGTGAGATTCAAAGAGTGTTGACACTTAACAGCTAACATCTCCAACATCCCAACTCCTTCACCACCTGGGCAGGAATCCATACATATCTCAGTCGCATGATAGCTGGGTAACTCACCTTGCGCAGAAGGGGCGTGGTTTCAGATATAAGTGGGCAGGGGGGGGAGAGGCTGAGTAGGGAGCGAAAGCTAAACCTAGCCCCCCAAAACGGGAAAAACGGATTTTCTCCGATTTCATGTGTGTGTGTGTGTGTGTGTGTGTGTGTGTGTGTGTGTGTGTGTGTGTGTGTGTGTGTGTGTGTGTGTGTGTGTGTGTGTGTGTGTGTGTGTGCGCGCGTGCGTGCGTGCGTGCGTGCGTGCGTGCGTGCGTGCGTACGTGCGTGCGTGCGTGCATGCGTGCGTGTGTGGGTGGCGGGCAGGACGGGAGCTGGAGCCCCCCAACTATGTCAAAACTACGCCCCTATCATGCATTGCAACCAATGCAACCATGTGAACACCTCAGACATTGTAACAAAACCATTTTGTAAATCGGATATTTGTTAGAGAAGGTTTGGATCGATTCTAAATCTGTCACTAGCCGTGCAAACCAATCCCGAATCCGGTCTATCCGGTTAAATATGTAATGAAGCTTAATCCGAATGATATAATTAACAACAGGAAGCATACATTCCGACATAATGAAATGACATTCCGCACTTGGATTGCACTCTTCCGGAGCTAAGCGTAACCTTTGTGAGGGAACTGCCGACCAGTGGTGCTCCCCATCGGTACTGGGGAACTGCCGGCCATTGGTGCTCCCCCGCCGGTACTGGGGAACTGCCGGCCAGTGGTGCTCCCCCACCGGTACTGGGGAATTGCTGGCCAGTGGTGCTCCCCCCACCGGTACTGGGGAACTGCCGGCCAGTGGTGCTCCCCTTCGGTATTGGATAGGCGTTGTAAATACACACACAGTCGGAAACTGTTCAGGGTCCTCGGCTTACCGGAGCATGATGAACGGTTGGCATGCATTGCAGAATATCCTGATGGACAGTTCAAACGAAATGTGTCCTCAAAACGAGCGTTTTAGAGGAGGTAAGCAGTAAGCGCGGAGAGGCAGCATCTGCCGGACAAGGTGTGTTCTGTCAGGTGGGTGGTAGGCCTGGCAGTAGCGTGTAACGGACTGGCAGCGAAAGTGGGGTTAATGTAAGCAGCGATGCGCAGAGTAATAAGTATGACTGCATCATGTGAAACGTTAATGTTGACCAGGATCCACATCCGACATTTTCCTTCTTCCACTGCCTTGTCCGTATTGACATCTAGTACATTGCTAAAAGCAGCAAGGGACAGTGCGAACTGTGGGTTACGATGTTAATGACAGACGCCGTTTGGCAGGCGCTAAGGAGTCCAATGTCCAGTTTAATAACTTGTAAGGCAGCCCTACCGCTGCATGGAAACGGGGCTTTTGAAAATGCTCGCTTACATATAGAATGTGGAGAAACTGTGGGGAAAGGTTCCTATCAGACGTTGTGTTCGCCTCGGATTACAACAGCAGTCGTGTGACTGATTGTAAGCGTCTCAGATGTAACGGCCGTCAATTGGCCCTCAGTCAATGCTGTGCAAGGTACGATAATGTAATCAAGTCATGACTTGTCGGGGAGCCGATTTACTAAACAGAAAAATTGTGTTGTGAGTAGTCTTTTCCACTCAAAACTATACCAACAGTCAGAAGTGGGCTTCTTTCGTCATATCTCCACATGCTTCAATATCTGCAAATGTGAAACATTCTCTTTAAGTCATGAACTACACTGGTACTTTCTAATACAGATACTTACTTAATTCAGGTATTTACGTCGATGCACTGGCGTTTGTTCAAGACCCCCAAATCACTCAAACATTCCCTCCGGCTATATCCGAGTCGTGGTAGTCAGAGCCCGTTGAAATTCGTCGCCGGGACTGGGAGCTGGATTGTTCGCATTCCAGTCCGGTAAGAGGTTCCGCGTTATTGTCCTCGGGAATGCTTCCAGGATCTTTTCTCCAGAAAGTTTAGTGCGACATTTACAACACTGAAGTGAAGTGTGACAGCTATCTGCGGATGCTAGACACGACGGACTAGTTCTTTTGATGACGCCCTTAAATCTCGCCGTGCCTCCGTTTTGTGCTTCCCAAATGAATCGTCCCAACTGCGGTTGTTAGAGCGTTTCATTGCGACAAGACAAACTGCAAATACACCCACGCGCTTCAGCCGCGCAACAGGCGCTGGCTCCAAAGATCCTATCACTGGGCCTTTGTCTGGCTTTTGAGTGGCCCGACATGAACAAGACAAGACACCACCCTCGAGGCAACTCACCTACCCATTCCCTTCTGCTCCGTTTACCTCGGTCCCAACAGATCACATGTTTGGGGGGGTGGGGGGACAGCCGACTGCTGCGGCGCACCGTGCGCCCAGTCTTCGACTGTTACGCACGATTCGTCAGTGCTTTGAGCATATGTTTCCGAGAAAATCATCCCATTTCAGTTTTCGGAAACTGGATATTAAACTACGTTTTTTACATGCAAATGAGAAAAATATTAGCATCTTGTGACAATTTGCTCTTCGTGCATTGCAAAAGCCCATAATGCCCTGCTCATTTCTTTTTTGTGCAATGACGCTTTCAACAATGACATGAAAACACTGTGGTCAGTTTTCCGACCATTTTAACGTATGGGTTTGCCAAGTTATCTTTCAGGTAACCGTGCAGCTGAGCGATTTAAAACTGTCGCAAGGAACTTCAGCACTGACGACAACCCCTATGGCCTAATTTGATGAAAATCCGAGCGATGAGGTTGTAAGACACTTGTCGATTTATCGTGGTATGCCCCAACTGCACCGTTTGCGTGTTAGATAAAAAATTAGAGATCGGTAAAAGGATTTCTCTGAAAATGAGGAGTGGACCTCACGTAACTTGAGTCACGTTAGACTTAAGAAATCATGATCCTGTCGAGTTGGACGCCGAGTCCGACACGTTTGAAGCTGAAACAAATCCACTGTGTTTAAACCGTAAGGAAAGACAGAACACTAGGTACGATTTCACACTTTTCCCACCATCCCGGGATTTAAAATTTATTCTAGCGTGTATGTACTTTATACAAACATAGCATAACATCTGATGTGACCTGTAGGCCAAACTCTAGCAATTAGCATACATTCCAACATCAAGATGATCCCAACTCAATCACGTTTATCCGCGCTTCCACCAGCATGGTGAGATCCTGCGGGGTGGCTCCGACCTCGGAGTCAAAGTGCAACTACGGCAGCCTGGAGCCTGCTTCCACTGGATCTCTCGATGAGGAGGTGCGACGCTCAGACGGCCAGCAGTGGCAGCTATTTCGAGAAACCATGGCCCAAATCAGGCGTACCAACGCCGACCTGCTGGCGATGCGGGAGCAGGCGCAGACCATGGAGGTTCGCCACAGCGAGCCGTGGACGCCAGAGCTAGCGGGACAGGAGCTGCTCCTGGTGGACGAGGAGGCCTGGCAGGAGTACGTGCGTAAGTACCTGTACACCGCGCCGGCGGTGCGGCTGCCCCCCGTCGAGGAGATCGACATCGATAAGCTCGTCACCAGGCTGACAGGGCCGCATGACAAGATGCTGCCGCCACCCGGTCGCACCTGCTACTGCGGATTCTATCCGTCCTTGGACCGGTCTCGGCTGCCGCTCAACCAGCCGCGGCTGAAGGCCCTGACGCCGGGGGCCCGCATCCCAAACACAGTCATCATCCGCATCCTCTGGTGCACGCGCACCCTTCTCGACGTCGAGCACTACCGCAAGCTGGCGAACGAGCGCAGTCTGAGCCGCCAGCGCTGGGAGCCCCTCGAGCGAGACGAATCGGAGGACGGTGAGTGCCTGGCGCGCACGGAGGACCTGGAGGCCACCACTGATCGCCGCCGCCACCGCTACAGGATCGTCTTCCCCGACAACGAGCACGTCGAGGAATGGCCAGGCATCGCCGCCGACGGCGCGAACGCAGCGTCCGTGGATTCAGAGGACGCGGCGATCGCGCGCGAGCGGCAGTGGGGAGCCGGCCGGCACGGTGAGCTGCTCTCCGACGCGGAGGGCGCGCCGGTGCCGCCAGGAGAGGGACACTCGGCGCTGGACGCCACGCTCGCCACCGGCGCTGTGGAAGGTGGCGCACTGGGCGGTGCTGGAGTGGAGCAGCGAGAGGACAGCGCTCCAGGCAAAAGTGCGGCAGGGCTGGGCGAAGGCAGCGCGCCGGGGCGACCTGGTGAAACAGGGTGGCGTGGTGGTAGCGCGGTAGGAGCTGGCAGTGCAGATCAAGGCGCTGAAAAGGAGCAACGTGGGCGTGCGACATCTGGACAGTCTGCAGTTAGCGGGCACAGCGGCGAGGGAAGTGCCCAGAAGGGTCGGGCAGTAGGCCAGAGTCAAGATGAACCAAGAGCTCAAGGTGCGTTCGGTGAAAGCGCTTGTGAAGTCATCGATCGATGCTGACGGTATTGGAAGCGAAGCCGCACCTCAGTACCGCGGGGTGACGAGCGCTGTTCACGATGAAGCACAACGACCGAGTACCGATCTGAACCTCACCCATGACGGGCAAGAGTCGGCTGGAGTTTCCAAAGGTGGCTTCCTCTCCCCAGTCGGCGGATATCAGCAAAGCCCCGCCAGTGAGGCGGCGGTGGCGGACGCCTCGCGCGGGTCTGCGGCCACCACGCCGGCAGCAGACGGAATGGGCAGCCCTCGTCTCCGACATCGTCTGCGGCAGGATCGCAGTCCGTCGCCCCAGCCAGCAACCGAGCGGCAGCAGGCGGACAACCTGAGTCGGCGGACCGCGGCGAAGAACGACGCAGACGGCTCTGACGGAGGCACTAGGACATCAATGTCTGACAGCGAGCATCGGCATACTTCCCGGGCTCGCCCTGATAAGGCAGGCAGCGACGAACGCTACATGGTTGACCAGGATTCTGAAAAGCAAGACGGGTCCACTGGAAAGCATGCCTTGCGAATGGCCAACCGCTACGAAGTCAAAGACCATGTCTGCGAGGATTCCAAAATTCAGCGACTCTCCGTTTCTGATAAACAAGCCAATCAAAATAAGAGAATCAAGCATTTCCCACGCGATCATCATGGTAGGAGAGCAAAATCATTCGGCGATGAAGTTGGAGGAGATATGGACGAGGAGAACCAGCTATCCGTGCAAGCTGGGGGGTTTCAGACGCATTCACCTGACCGCCCAGACCAGTCCGACCGTATACCGGGCGTATTTTATGACGATTCCTCTTATGACAGTTCACAGTCGTCGCATGATTTCGATGAATCCAAGGAGTCCACTTTGCACGACGATGCAAGTGGCGACGGGCATCAGCGCTTTGGTCTGCGGGAAGTGTCGATTACCCCTGAAATAAGAAAGAGTGCCAGCGGCAGCGCCTATGATGGCTCTTTGAATACGGAGGCCATCGAATACATAGAAAAGTTGCAGGAGCAGCCGTGGATCAGAGAACTTATCCCAGGACTGGGCAATCAAACGCTAGGCCCCTGGAATGTTATGGATCATCTCCTCTTACTCCTTCCAAAGCAGCCAGCAGAGATGAAGCGGAGTGTTCTCGCAGAGATCCAGACCATCTTCAGACAGTTCTCACATCGCAAGGTGGAGAAGGTTCTGCACGCCATTCTCACAGCGCTACAAGCCGCCACTGATGACCCAGTCACGCTCGCGGCCGTGCTGGACACGCTGGAAAGCATCGGCCTGCAGATGGACGTGGTGGTGGCCAACATCCTCAGCCTTCTTCCAGGGATGTCGGACGACGCCCGGGAGAGCGTGCTCGTCTTTCTGACACGCCTCGGTCTTGTCGACACTCACCGCAGGATTCTCGCGGAAGCACTCTCCTGGGATCGCAGGCGACATCGACGGACTGGTAAGCAGGCCGTCCACAAAGCTCTGCTGCGGAAAGCTGTCAACTTCATCGGCGTGTGGTCAGAAGCGTTTGAAACCCACTCCAAACTCATCGCCGAGGAAATCAACCAAAGTGAGTATCGTCAGTTGTTTCTTTTCAGGGCTGTTTTTATGCATAACGGTGGCTGTACAGGACTTCTTGAACCCCATTTCCGTCCGGGAAGGGTGTGGCGATTCGGATTCCCTGAGGTGTTCCGCGCAGCATTGGCGCGCTGACTGAGCCAGGCTCTCGAACTTTGGACACTATTCTCAACTTATCGCTGGCGTCGCGTCCGACGATGCCATGTTTATTTTCTTTTTTATGCACGCACCACGGGTAGCTCCGGGACGTTTGCTTGGAGGGAACGTTTTTTGTTCGTTCAATGTAACTGCATTCACCGTGGCTCCGATGCGAGCATTACCTAGAAAGATTTTCTGTTTCAACAGCCAACACGTGCCAGTGCATAACTGTGAACATTCAAATGCTACGGGCGGATTCAGGGATAGGGACCTTTTTGTCCCTCATACTCAGTGCGTGGATACCTCTATGGAGCATAAGCATGCACATGGCTAGGGTGCGTTTTAGGGGGGAGGTTTACAGTATGAGCGTCTTCCGAACAGCAGCTGGCTGACGATTTGGTATTCCGGTACAAACCACGTCCGTTTATGTTCCGCCGAAGGAGTTCATATTTTACACAGACGGGATGCTCATGCTGTGATTGTCCTGGCTCGATCCTAAAGGCCATTGCAAACATGTCGCTTGCTTCATTCGTCACATATGACAATTACTGCAGTTTGTCGGCCGAGTCAGAGCTACATGTTGATGCATACCATCGAGTTCGCATCTTGTTTTACACCGTATTGTTTATGGAGCGCAGGGTCAGCCTCAGGCTTTTGAAAGTGGCGCATATATGCTTACAGACTGGACCAAAACATCTGCTGTTTAAACTTTCAGGGAAAATGCAAGCAGTGGTAAAGTTGAATATTATCAAGATCTTACAGAACTATGAACCGCAATGCGTCTATGAAACATCTGACGGCATAAATGTCAGCTTAAGAAGTCCTGCCAGCGCTGATCGACTACAAAACCCAGGGGTAAAACAACCTTTTATTCATGGCCAATAGTTTCTTTCAACAATGTTACTTACGGTCGCTCTTCTCAATGATATCCCACTCAGTGCTTGCCACCCTCCGGCCGCTTCAAGATAACGTTCGCACTAAAAAAGACAGGTGTCCTCAATTTATTTTCTAGCGATCTTGACGTTCTCCATTTTGTAGGAGAAAGCACAGCATTGCACGCTGGCGCATTAACTCAAGGCAGCGGCCGCTGTCTCAGGTAATCGAGGCGCTGAACTATTTCGTCGAGCTGACCGATGACGAAGGTATCGAGCGGCCGGCGCAGCCCAGCAGTCCGCACAGCGAGCCGGCAGTCGTCGACCCGCTGCAGTGGAGACGGCGCAACTTTGACATCCTGGTGCCGCCCAGCCAGACGCCGGCCCTGCAGGTCAGCCCGAGTCACGGGCGGCACGGCCTGGACGGGGACTGGCCGGACAGTTACACGAGTCTTCTGGCGGACGGACAAGCCGGAGTCGCGGTGTCGTCCTTACATGACACCGCGGTTTGAGTGGGGACGGACCTCAGGCGCCGGCGTGCGGGGCGTGACAACCAGTCATCGGCCCAGACCTTCTGGTGATGACTTCAACGCCTGGCCACTGCGTGTAGCGCATCGGTTCTGAGTGTTAGGCGTTTTATGAGGCGTGAGCCTACGTTTTATTGTTGTCACTGGTGATTCCTGTAATCGCCTGTTAGCCGAAAGCGACTTACACAAACCGAAACGGTAACGCGACCTTACCCGACTGAATGAAAATGTAACCGATTTCGAGGCCGATTCCAGCTCTACCAAGAATCGGCCACAGACATACTGCCTATCATCTGGCTGGTGCTGTCCCCACACGTGGGGACAGCACCAGCCAGATACTGCGAGGTCGGTGGCCGGTTCTGAAGCAGCGGTGCGTGGACAGCACCAGCCATGTAGCGAGAAGCATGACCGTGGCAGATTCCTGGTAGAGCTGGAATCGGCCTGGACCCGCCACCGACTGAGCGACCGGCGTCTGCTGTGGCCACATCTGGCGTCCCCATGACCTTCTCGTAGCGGCCCGCTTCAGCTACTGCCAAGCCAGGGAGTCGGGTCAATGCGTTAGTATTAAGAAATATGTAAACCCGCTGACACCGAGGTGCTAATATCCCTGGCTGCGCCCAGCTGTTAGACGAGAGCACTTGCACCTGACGGGGCTTCTCGTGTGATGCAGAAGGGCGAACCCGCATCTCCTGACCACACTTAACTGCAGCCGAGACAGCCGGCTGACCAGACCTGACCGTGCCGCTCCCTGACCTGACCTGACCTGACCTGACCCCAGGGAAACCGGCCGCTGCGGGCGGGCGTGCTGTGGCCGACCTCGCTGGTGACGCACCACCCGCGCCGGCCGGGCCTGGCGCTGCTGCCGTGGCCCACTGTCACCGTGGGTATCACCCTGCGCATCGCCGACAAGTACTACCGGGCCGCGCCGCCGCCGGCAGCCGCCCTCTGGATGTCTTGACATGGGCCAGGACAAGCGGGCGCGGCTGGGGGCCTGTGGAACATGTGGGGGTCCAGATGCGGGCCAGTTAAGGATGAATCATGGGTCCGGATGGAGGCCAGGTGGGGATGTGTGCGTCCGGAGGACCCAACGGAAGACGTTTAGGTCTGTCTGGGGCCAGAGCGAGGTGTGTGGGTCTGGTTGCGACAGCGATGGGTGTGCGGGTCCTCCTCAGACACAGAGGACTGGAAGCCACATGCAGACTAGCATGTTTGGCTGGAACCCAGCGAGCGCAGAAAGGTGTGTTCGTCTGTCAGGCGCTGAAGCTTCGCCTTAGTCAGGCATCCCCGGTCGCTGTGGAGCTTCGCGAGTCGCTCACTGCCGGAGAGCTTTCGATGTCGCTCAAAGCAGGGGAGCCAGAAGCCAATAACAGCTGTTAATACTGTTGGTATCTGCGTTGAAGGCTTGCTGTCGTCTGACCGATACATTTGGCCACGACTTCTGAAAAGAATCCCATGGCAAATATTTGTGAAACAACTACCGAGTTGTGAGACCAACATGCGCACTTAAGGGATGCTTGCGGGCTATAGGTGAGGCTGCAAGCGTCTATACTACGGTGTATGTGCGACGCATGTGCGCAAACATACATTTATTACAAGACAACGAGCATGCTATTCAGAATTAAACGCTGTTGTTCCGGACGATTTTGTACGAGCTGATCGTTGTTTGTCGTCCTTTATATCAGATGCATTTGATTCTGCGACGTCGGACGCTCGCATCTCGTTTTCTTTTGCAATGACTCACATCTGTGTGTACAACACGCATATCTAATCGTCGTTTGATTCATAGCATTGTTACTTAGTTAAATAATCAGGTCACTACACATTAGTGTCAACTGAAAGGAGCCGGGTTGAACCGAAACATATTTTGCAACTTCACCTGAGTTGTACATGCTTTCATGGGAATGCAACTAAGACAAGACACGACATAGTGCCACTTTTACCAGACAATTGGCATAACTGATTATTTTGAACTCGTTTCTTTGCTATCAAACGGCACGCTGGTTCCTCCAAGTTTTAATATGGATTGCTGAAACATGAAAAGACGCAGTATGTATTGTGTGTTGTATTACGTCAATGGATTCACGCACGGCACATATACTAACAGCAATGCAAGTCTTAACAACCCCGCCAAAGACCTACAAGGTATGTTCTAATTGAGGTAGACGAACTTGCTCTTGCCTTCGCATGGATAGAAGATGGGGACATGCGCAGGGTATCGATTGCAATTAACATTGTAATGAATGAAATGAAATAATAAATGAAATCAAGGGGCTGCCGAGCAAGAAGTGACAGTCTGATGTTGCTTCAAAACAGTGCTTAACCATGAGGTCCTTAATTGATGTGTTCAAAGGTCTTCTGGCTCGAAAAGGGTATAAGTCAAGATACCAACGAATGTTTGGATGCCATTTTTATGGTCTTGGGCGCGGGCTTCTGGTTCCTCAGATTAGCAGGTGCTTGATCATCGTGAAGGAAAAAGTCGCGGACCAGGGCAAATCCGTTCTAGGTTGACCTGTTCAGCGCCGTCAGTGACGGGTGTAGGTTGGCTGTGTGCCTCATTTTCTTCCTTTTCTCTTCCCACTCTACCCACTTACATATGACTAACGCAGACAATTCGTGACCCCAGCTTTACCTGTTCTTATCGTTACTCATCCTCCAGCCTGCAAGTGTTTAGCCGCAAACGAGTCAGTTCATTTGGCATGGAGATCATCTATCTACTCGCAAGTGTAATGTCTTGCATAAATGTGGTGATTCAAATATTCCGACATGGTCAACATCAATGCTGTTCAAATTGGTAGAATATGGTATTAGCAGATTCTTTGCTATCTGGCTTCATTCACACAGCTAGTATTATGGTGCGGTTTGGCATATTTTGCTGCCATCTAGGGTGACATCGATGGTGACAATGTGATTCGAGTGACATCAATGTCTACGTTAAAATACTTTCGATTGTTCCTTATGTGCAGTGATGGATGTGTCCGCGAGATGTGACGATGGTGCAAAGCTGAGGATCAGAGACAAATTCCAGCCACATACAGCAGCTTGAAAAGCTGATAAACGTCAATGCACCTTTTACCCGATTTGAGCTTTCCCCGCCATTGCGAGCGAATCGCCTGCAGCGTTCTGAAGTTTTGCTGCCCGCTCGCTGGCCGACGGGATGATGCTTCAGATTCTCGACCGGACGCCGATCAGGCTATCACAACATCTGTATGAGGATGGAGAGCAAAATAACGGCAGCCACAGCTCCGGCCAGCGTTCGCCGGCGCTGAGCTGATGAGGCGTTACAGCCGCTCTCCTCGCAGCAGTGAACACACTCGACGTTTGGTCGCGAGGTGTCGCACTGATCCAGCCCCAGCGCAGAGGTGGCGCCACCGTCCAGCCAGCACTTGCCGAGCGTGCAGTCCTTGATGATTGTTTTGACGCCTCCTCCTGCGAGAAATTGATCAGGTGGCGCTCGTCTCACGAAAATCGACTCGGGTTATTCGATGGTAACAAAGACTCGAGGAATGACTGCTGGTCTACCGCACTCTACCGCACTCTACCGGTAAGCGGGCACCTCTCTTCCAGAGGTGTACGACGAGGACTCCTCTGGATGAGTCCAGCCACATCGTAAGAAAACGGTTTCTGAACGTCTAGATCAAAATGCTGTCGCTTTTGGAAAAGCAGCAGCATCATTCTTTGTTGTGTGATTTGATTATGTCGCTGAGTAAGCCCCGAAGGACTTGGACGTATCAGTGGTGAAACACACTACTCTCAGTGTTCCCAGTGCGAGCATTTCTCTGCTGAGTATTGATCTTATTACGCCGACTGAAGCATGCTATCAACAATGAAACATCGTGTTTTTTATGAACAAACAATAGTTTTAAATGCAGGTACTGATGCAGTACAGATCATCTATCATTTTTGCCAACCGTCATTTTACGAGGCAGCTGAAATCGGAAGGAAAGAGGAAGCGTAAGCTTCACAACTTGAATTACACCAGACTATAAAACACTTGTAACAACCACAGACCCTGTATTCCTCCCTAACAAAAGACCCAACGGGTATTTTCGTCTGCATCGCATCCAACATTGCTAACGTTACAAACAAGAGGACAGTACAGTCGGGTGCGGCTGAACGTGAACGCTGCCGCGGCCCGCTGACAGGTGCAACACATCCTCCTGCTGTGACCACCTCTCGACCCGGCCGGCTACGGCGCGGCGCTGAGCGCGGGCACCTCGTCTGCGGATCGTGGTCCTACAGCGGTCGTACGCCTGGTCCGTCGGACAGGGCAGCGGCTCCCCGCACTGTAGGTTGTCGGTCACGTTGCACTGGTAGCAGGCCAGGCCGGGGTTGCTGGCGCCGGCCACGCCACCTGTCGGCGTGAGTGAAAATGACAACTGGCGCTTTGGCATAGGAGCGGGGCGTAGGCAAAATGCGCATATCCTTCGCTTTTTGTCGCAAGTATCCCCGCAATAAGAACAATTATATATGCATGTCTGATTCCAAGTGGCAAGCTTGCACGTCGTTGGAAAATAAGCAGGTTTGACATCGTTTCAAAGTCATCAAAGCCACTAGCCCATAAAGTCACAGATTGGAAAAGTAGGGAACGGTGCGTGAAAATTGACGAAACAAACGCGCATTATGGATAACCCATCACGACTGAACATCAGATCGTGGTGTCTTCGGGTTTCTTTAATCGTGATTGCACTTGCCGTGTTGACAATATCTAACTCAATTTTATTTTCATTTTCGCGAGGAGATCGGTTGCAAAAATGACCTGAACAATTTGAAATGGGTAAGATGCCGCATGTTTTACTTGAACTTGTCCTGACAGATCTGAAGTAATATCACACAATTTGCAAGCAGGAAAACTTGTTTTGGTTTCCAGCAATAATCCAGATTGGTGCCTATTGGTTTGATCGTTTCTAGCATAAGAACAAGACAGATCTTCCTCGCCTCCCTTCAGCGGTGAAGGATTTGCGGGAGCGCTCCCGTACCCAGAGCTGGATATGAGCTTGGCAGCACCCGGGGTGACACTGACCCGGTGATGGTGTCATTCACGGCGCTGGTGACGCGTGTCAGGTGATGCGCCGTGTGACATGTGATGTTTATGTAATGCGTGTCGCGTATGGTTTGTCACCCCGTGCCTCGTTTGTGGTTTTTCGTGTGATGTGTCTAGTGTGTCGCATTGTGTGTGTGTGTTGTGTTGCGTGTCACTCGTAGCTTGGGCTGTGTCGTGCGGCGTACTGTGTGTGTGGCGCGGAGTGCTGTGCGTGGTGCGGCGTGCGGCGTGTTGTGTGGAGCCATGTGTGTCATGCGCGTGTGTCGTGGATGTGTGTCGTATGTGATGCATAATGTATTGCGTGTCGTGTACTCCATGATGTATTTTAGGTCATGCTTATCTTATAGTACGTGTCGTGTATAGTGTGTCGTGCAGTGTGTGTCGTGTAGAGCGTGTCGTATAGTGCGCGCCATGTGGTAATGGACGTGAGGTGCGTGTCGTGTAGTGCATGCTACGTGGTGCGTGACGTGCAGTGCATGTGTCGTGTGATGTGTGCCGTGCGAGATGTGTCGTATACTCCTCGATGTGTTTCAGGTGATGTTTGTCATGTAGCGTGTGTCGTTTAGCGCGTGTCGTGTACTATGTGTCGTGTAATGCGTGTCGTGTCGTGTGTATCTTGTTGTGTGTGTCGTGTAGTGTGTGTCGTGTAATGTGTGTCAGTGCAGTGTGTTTCGTGCAGTGCGTGTCGTATAGTGCGTGCCGTATAGTGCGTCGCATGCGGTGCGTCGCAGATGGTACGCCGCAGTACTGTACTGTGTACTGTATGTCTTGCGTCGTGGCTGATATGACGTGTGACATGTTGTGTGCATCAGGTGGCGTGTGTTGTAAACTGTGGTTCACGTGTTGCGTGCCATAAGCCACTTTCTCACGAGTAGGTGCCCGTGGGAAAAATATTTTTCGTGACGTCACAAGACCAGCGTTATTCAGACGATTCTCATCGGGCCTGATAACGAAAGAGACCCGCAGGCCTAAACTAAATACCACTAGACACATTTGAAACGGTGTAGCGAAAACTACCGGTTGCCAGATGGAATCGAAAAGGAAATTGGACGGAACCGGAACCCAAGCGTTAGGGCCCATCTGACATCATTTGGACCCGACCCGGAGGCACAGGTTGGAACAAACCGGCACAGATCGCATCCTAATCAGTTTCTTGGGACCCAGACCAGCCCCGAACGGAATCATACCAAAACAATGTACATCTATTTCGTACGTGCTACACCCGACTACCACAGCCTGGTTTCAAACCAACGCAAAGTGCAACATCAGTCGTATTCGGCATTCGGTTCTACACCCAACTCCGTTCTTCACAACCCATTGGAAGCCTATGCCTTACCGATGATGTCACGGCCCAAGCCCATTCCCTACTCGGCCGAGAGGCGGAGTAAGTGCGCTTATTCACAAATAAGTTGGCGGTGCTGACCTAGCAGCGCATGGCAACGATCGACGCTCTGTTGACGGGCTTGCATGTTCAGCAAACAGACAGGCCTCACTCTCGTGTGGAGAGTGGTATATACATACATGCACACACACACACACACACACACACACACACACACACACACACACACACACACACACACACACACACACACACACACACACACACACACACACACACACACACACACACACACACACACACACACACACACACAACACACACACATATATATATATATATATATATATATATATATATATATATATATATATAACTATCTATCTATATCTTATCTAGATCAAGTCCTGTATTACATCGTCATAATATTTTATTATATCATTTGTTTTACTTTTTATTAATGTTATTCTTATCTTATATTATATAAATGCAATACTGATGTATTTAGGTACACATCCCTGGCCAATAATAGTGATTCCAATTATATTCGAATGCTGGGTTCTACATATTGACATGGGGCTGAACCAGCTGATTCTAATTGTGTCCATATTTGAAATAAAGATGCTCCCTATCGGTGTGTATCTTTAACGTCACCTCAGTGGACAGTGAGCGAAGCTCGGGTCGCAAGTCAATGAGGAACTGGGCTCGGCTGGACCCGAGCCTGCCACAGGAGTGACGTGAGTAAAAGACCAGCTTGGTTAAACTCGAGCCTGCCACAGTAGCGGCGTGAGTAAAAGACAAGCTCGGTTGGACTCGAGCCTGCCACAGGAGTGACGTCAATAAAAGACAAGCTCGGTTGGACTCGAGCCTGCCACAGGAGTGACGTGAGTAAAAGACCAGCTTGGTTAAACTCGAGCCTGCCACAGTAGCGGCGTGAGTAAAAGATAAGCTCGGTTGGACTCGAGCCTGCCACAGGAGTGACGTCAATAAAAGATAAGCTCGGTTGGACTCGAGCCTGCCACAGGAGTGACGTCAAAGAAAGATAAGCTCGGTTGGACTCGAGCCTGCCACAGGAGTGACGTTAGGGAAAGACAAGCTCGGTTGGACTTGAGCCTGCCACAGGAGTGACGTCAGTAAAAGACAAGCTCAGTTGGATTTGAGGCTGCCACAGGAGTGACGTCAGTAAAAGACAAGCTCGGTTGGACTCGAGCCTGCCACAGGAGTAACGTCAGTAAAAGACAAGCTCGGCTGGACTCGAGCCTGCCACAGGAGTGACGTCAGTAAAAGACAAGCTCAGTTGGACTCGAGCCTGCCACAGGAGTGACGTCAATAAAAGACAAGCTCGGTTGGACTCGAGCCTGCCACAGGAGTAACGTCAGTAAAAGACAAGCTCGGCTGGACTCGAGGCTGCCACAGGAGTGACGTCAGTAAAAGACAAGCTCAGTTGGACTCGAGCCTGCCACAGGAGTGACGTCAGTAAAAGACAAGCTCGGTTGGACCCGAGCCTGCCACAGGAGTGACGTCAGTAAAAGACAAGCTCCGCCGGTGCGTTCCGCCCAAGCGCAGCGGCAGGAGCTAAACGGATTTTACAGGCTCCCCTCCAGAGGTGGAATTTAGTCTCATGCATTTATTTCAACTGCAAATCGGTCAGGACTATTCTACAGCTACGCCACTACTAATGAAATTATCCATCTAGGTTGTTTCTAGCGTCAGCACGTACGCAGTTTTCAATATTTGACAAATAAAATTGGCACGCCATTAAGGCCATTGTCAAATGCTGCCGTGCGAACCACTTGATTTCATCAGTAAGGGCAGATAGCGCACTCTATGTGTTCAACAATCTAAAGCTCTAGCGGAAAAGGCTATAAATGTCATAGTAAAAACTCTTAGTGTTCGTATTACATGACAGAGGCAGTGAAGCAGCTAGTTGTGGTGAGACCTTAGACACGGACAGCGTTACGTGAGCTGATTCCTGTGGAAAGCAGGCGGTGGCATTACCGCGAACTTTGGAACGCTTTTTCTGTGCGGATAAGGCGATGTCCAAACAAAATGCTGCTTTCAATGGACTTTTGCCACCTAGGCCTACCTATTTCTGGAACTAGCCAGTCTTAATGGGAAAACGCCCAATCCAATCCGAAAAAAACGTAATCCGCTGAAACTGTTGCAACCATGTAGCTGAGTTACCGAGACCACCATACCACCGGCCAAAGTAGGGCTACGCGCTGAGTTACCGCCATCATCAGCTAGATTAGCACCGGCATCGACCAGCCATTCGGCCCACTCCCGGGGGCCTAATGACTGGAACAATGTGGCGTGCGCACGAGACGAGGAGAGTCGGCACCAGCGCCAGCCGGCGGCGTCAGGAAATGCTCCGCCCTGTCGCAGGAAGACGACCCGGAGATGGCCCGAGCTTCCGACGGATGTCGCACCATCGCGCCACTTGTCGACGCCGGGCAGCGACCTGTGCAGAGCACATTCAGGCTGCTGGGATGGCGGGAAGGGCGGCGCACGAGGAACGTTCGCGTTACGCATGGTATCAACCTCTGCATATGCTGCACACTTCTCTGCCTTTTGTTTCCTTAGGAAAGACATGTGATAATCCATGCGGCCTTCGTCCTCCCTGTGCGACGAAGCAGCTCGTACTCCAAGCGCTCCGTGTTCTGTGTGGGGCACATTGCGTGCCATTCGCACACCTTATGTGATAGTTGTTAGTCAGGAATGCGTGCTGCGTGGTATCGGATTGCACATAGCAAAAATGATATCAACCAGTATTGAGTGCGGCGTACGTCACATCATGGGATAAGCTAAGAGCACTCATTGTTGGATGAAGAAAAACTGGACGACAGATAGCTTTGCTACGATGACTGTATCGATTACAATGGGTATAATGCGCATTAGAGAGCGCATTCCCCGGGGACCGAGCACATTCTGTTTTCCATTTACCTGCCTCTGAACCCGAGTCAGCCCCACCTCCCGGGAGCCAGCGCGACACGCTGCGCTCTCATGCAATCCTCCAGGGGCAACAGGTCATGGAGCACAGACCGGCACTGCGCCGCGGGATCAATAGCAGCCGCGACGACCGCTGCCCGGGACGTTACCGGGAGCGCGGCGGGACTGTGTTCGGCGCCGCCGACGACCGCTGCCCGTGATGTTACCGGGAGCGCGGCGGGACTGTGTTCGTCTCCGCCCGACGACCGCGCCCCCCTGCGGGACTGCGTTCGGCGCCGCCGGCGAGCGCTGCCCGTGATGTTACCGGGAGCGCGGCGGGACTGTGTTCGGCGCCGCCGGCGGCTTTGTCGGCCCATTTGGCGACGGCCAACGGCCGGCCGAGTATGTGCAGCCGAAGGCTATCAAGTTGACCGCCGCAAGGCTGTGATTGGCCGTCCCCATGAGTCGTATTCAGTGGCGCACCCAGGAGGGCAGGGGGGGGGGAGAGTGAATGGGCTTTAAGTAACCTGAACGTGACGCTGGTCCCCACATTGGCTGCGGTACCGCAGCGTCGTATTGGTCGCGATATGACCAAATTAAAACGGCGACTCGCTATTTGATCGGTGTTCTTTACCACGGCCTATATGAAACGAGGCCTTTGCCTGTCTTCCATATTCTTAAGTTTTGGTGCACTTAGAGGCAGAGTTTCGTACGTTAGTCCTGGAGGTAACCGAGCGGCCTAAGCCTCGAATGTTCAGTTCAATGTCAGCAGTGTGGAGTACGGACACATTCCACTCGCTAATGTGCAACCATTCCATCTACGTTGGTATGACACTGTGAAATGCTGCGATAATTGTCACATAAATGAACAATAAAGCTTGCTCATGTGCCACAGAATGTCGACACGCTCGCCGCTCGCACCACTCACAGTGTCCGAGCTGCCAATGTGGGTACATTTCGACGTAAGCATCTTTCACGTAAATATGCTCGGGCCCAGCTGCCTCCAGGCATGAGCCGAGTTTGCCGGGAGCAACCCTCCGGACGAATGATAACGCCGCTGGTGCGCCATGCCGACCAGAGGAAGAACAGGCAACACAAAAAAGGTAATTAGTGTGCTAGAATGCCGTAAGATTTTGTAATGAGGTCGCAGTTGCACTGAGGGAGGGATTCCGGTGCATCGTTCATGGGTGGAGCTGTGACCTCAAATGTGTACCTGAATGCAATCTGAACACCTGTACGCTATTGCCCAACGTTAGTAGCAGCATGCGTAAAAAGCTTTTATAAGTACTCCAACCCCAGAGCCTAGCAGTGCCAGACGCAGCCGTCAGCGGTTGCTGCCTCACCCACCTACCTGAGCCGAGCAGGAGGGGGCCAGCAGCCAGCAGCAGCAGCAGCAGCAGCAGCGGCAGCGGTGGCGCCGCCCGGCCGGCCGGCATGGCTCTTGCGGAGATTACCTCGGGGCACTGGCGCCGGCCAGCGGCGGCCCGGCCAGCCGTCGGCGGCTGCCGCAGGCGCAGACGGCGGCCGGGCCAGGCGGGCCGCGCCCGGGGCGGGGCAGGCAGAGTGGGCGGTGCGGCGGGGAGTCAGAGGGAGGGAGGGAGGGACGTGGAGGGAGGGAGGGAGGGAGGGAGGGAGAGAGGGGAGAAAGAGAGAGAGAGAGAGGGAGATCGGAGGAGTGGTGGAGGTAGTAGGGCAGGGGAAAATCAAAGCCCGACATATTTGAATGCATGAGTGGTAAGCCGCATGCATGCAAACGCTTCATTGCCTCTGCATGCATTACGCCTCCCCATGATGACAACCTACATATGGGGGTTGCCTAAAATTGGATAATTATGTTTTTAATTATATCTTTGTGAAACATTACGCATAAAGATAAAATAGTACTGCCAAAATTAATTATCATAGAATTAGGAGAACTGATAAAACCAGGAGAACGGAGAGACAGATGAATTGGTAGTTCGGCTACATGCCTTTATCGAAACAAGCATGAGTAGTGAATAGTATGGGTGTGAGTACGAATAGAGAGTATTGTTGCTAATATCCATTCCGGTAAAGGTAGGCAGCTGAAATAGCAATGCATTTGTCACTCCTTCTCCTGATTGCTCAACGAGGAATTAGGCTAACAGTAACGTCTTTTCTATAAGACCGGATACTGCTAGCTGCACATGCACGGAGCAAATGACTGGCAACCTTACAGACAAATATCCGGACCAAATATCGAGCAATCAACACTATATGAACTATCGAGGAGCTCGAAAGCTCATGCACTCAGCCGCATTGACAGCTGAGACTGTATACCACACGTTCAGATCGTGCTCAGGTACTACGCTTCTTGACACTGATACGGAAGGCATAAAGCGTTTCTCCGGCGCATGAAGACACTTTCCTAAAAACTTGCTCGATGTCCCCCAAGCGAGCTACCCCGCGCAGTGGTGACATGCTCGTGCGCTTGATATATGTGTGTATCATTGTGCAAGGAAAACAAAAGCAGAAAAGAACAAAAAGAGTAGCTTTTTCTGCTATTGCTAGTCTGGCATTGCACAGCGAGCGACATGATGTGGTTGACTACGTAAAGTAAACGAAAGGAAAGAGAACGGCATAAATGTGTTTGTTTTCAAACTGGGTCTTCAGCAGCGCTGCTTTTTCTTTTTGGGGCGAAATCGATAAGCTTACCGACCCACGGCGAACTATGGTTTTGAAATGATGGATACGTGTACACTTTGACAGCCAGAACCAGGCCAATGTTATTACTCTTCGAAACTCTGCATGCTTCCAAATGCTACCGCTTTTTTTTGCCAGCGCATGCCTTACCATCTCTACCCTCGTTGGCAGCCTCACCCCTTCCCTTCCCGACGTCGATGTCGCCACAGCGGCCAGCGCTTCTGGCGGTGCGTGGCTGTCAGTGCCGGGCTGACGGACGAGCGCGGACGTGAGTGAACGCCCCCGCTGCACAGGTGAACGTCCCGCAGGAAGTGAAGCACGGCCTGCAGCGATCGTACTACACCGGCCGGACGCACCTCGAATGGCTGTCCGGTCCGTGAAGCCACGCGTCGCCTGGACAGGTGCCGAGCACTTACGCGGCAGGACAAAAACCCGCGCGCGCCCGTCATCGCTCGGCCACGTGCAAAAAACGTTTGCGCAAGGTCGCTGATGTCTTTCTCGAGCAGCCAGCCGCGATCTGCCGGCAAAAAGGCCGGCGGCGGCTGTTTCGTCGTCACCTGCCGCGCCCGACTCAAGGGCGGTGCCTTCCTCCGCCGTTCCAGGCGCGGCGGCCAGCTGAAGCGCGGCGCCGGCATTCCCCCCCGCGCAAAAAAAAAAACGGCGCGCCGGCCGTGCCGGCAGGTGCGGAGGGGCGTCCGCGGTGGACCGCTACTGTTGTGGCCGACTGCGAGGCAGGGTCTGCACTGGTGCACTGCTGGATGGCCCGCGAGGGTCGCGCCGGTGCCAGCGGACGACAGTGGTGACGTCACGTCGCATGGAGGGGGGGGGGGGGGGCGTGATAAGACTGACCGGCCGCCGAGAGTGCTCCAGAAGTCGATAGCCCAGCTTGCTTTGGGTCTGAGGCTCCTGTAACACTGGTTCCGCCAATAAAGCAGCCCGCAAGGATTATGTCATGTTTGTGCGTTGCTGAAAAAGTAACGGAGTGCCGCGACCCGATGCGAACATTGCGAAGTTGAACTATAGGTTTCTTCGCTATGCTGAAATGCCATTTTTGAACGTGACAACAGTATGTCCTGTGGATTTCTCCCTTTTACGCAGTTATGTCAGAGACCGGGGAAGATTCCTTCTCATCACGTGTTTTGATTGGAAGGCTTGAGCAAGGCGTGATCGTTTTATCATCCAGGGTTATGCCAGGTCTGCTTAGCTGGGCACATATCCTTATCAACATCGGTGATATGCGTTAGTTTTCTCCATTCTGTCGTGCGTGAATCTTTTCAACCATTCCGGGGTTCATATGACTGTGGGTGGAGATTATTTATTTAGGTTGGCATGCCGAAAGTGCTGAAGTAAGTGCCTTGGGATGGGAAACAACCCAAATGATTGGACTAATTTTCACAGAAACTGGTGTGACTGACGGCATCTTGAACATCATAGCACATTTTTAACACCATAGCACATTTTTAACACCATAGCACATTTTTAACACCATAGCACATTTTTCGCCTATACACGAGACCAGCAAACAGCATTGAGGCCAATATACAGCTCACATGTATCACAGCCACTAAGACCTTGTGCCATGAAGTACGTCCCGCCCTCTTCGCTAGACAGTTCTCCTCATAGCAGGGACGCTCAGACCCTTTTTCAGGCTCAAATATCTGGTGCATGTCATGGGCTTAATTTATTAAAACTGGTCGAGTTTATGGTCCTGATTCCCATAAGCCTGGCGTAATCTGCATCTGTAAGTGTGCCCCTGGTGCAGAGATGTGACATGGGGCACAACTGTCCCTGACCAGTAACCGAGGCACGGTCAGTCTCGCGTCCCCGACTCCTCTACACAGCAGAGACAGCCATGCAAAGGAACCGGCCATATTGTGTTAAGGTCACGACAATATCACTTTTGAGGTGTGCGTGCCTGGAGAATGACAGCACGAATCGTAACATTATCGGATAGCAGTTGGTCTTCAGCCAGCTTACTGTGTTAAATTCATGCTTCCATGTGATGCATAACACAACATTTTGGCCAGTGCTTCTGGTTATGACGGAAATAAATTTGGAATAAAATAATTTAAGGATGGCGACGCAGCAAAGCATGAGAATGCAAGTATCAACACAAAACCACAGGCAAATAAACGAAAACGCCACGAGGAAAGGGCCAAAACACGCGCACATAACGGTATTCGGGTGCAGGATACATGCATCAGTTAACAAGCCACCTCTAGGTGAGTTGAAGTACTACGAGTCGGTCAGCCCATCCGCTGCAATAGCAATTCTGATACAGCCAGTCTGGCAGCAGCTTTGACGTCATAAAAACGTTTCATGACGTATACAAAAGATGACATATTGAGCAGATGTACGAACGAATGAAATTTCGTTGTCCACAGAAGTTCTTTGCACTAAAAATAATACCATTAGTTACGAGTGAGCTTTCACCGTCACATCGAATGCTTGCTTCAATGTCGTCAAATGTAGAGAATTCCTTTTCATGATCTTTTTGGTGTGGCATTGATAAGCAGGTATCATTGGTGAAACCGCATACGCTAAAGATTTACATGAACATTCCGTCCCAATGCAAAACACGTATGCTCCTTGATTCGCTTCATGGAGCTCAGCTGTGCGAGAGTGTGTCTGCCGCCCGTGATCACTGACGAGGATGTGGTCTGCCACCTGGCCTGGAGGCCGACACCTCGTGATTTCCGCCCTGAATGTGGCCTATCGCCCGCCCCTGATCCGTGACCCGGGCTCCAACCCATTCGTGATCCCTGACCTGGACGCGGTCTGTCAGCCGTCCCTGACCTGGCCGCTGCGTTCCGCTCCACGCCCCCCCCCCCCCCCCCCCCCCCTCCCAGTCCCTGATACAATCGTCGTCCGCGACGCGACGCTCCGGCGCTCAGGCTGGCCCCGTTCTCGTCCGTCGGCGCATGCGCACTGGGCCGGCGCGCAGTGCTTGCACGCGTGCTGCCCAAATAAAGTCCGCGCCAGCCGTGCGCCGCGCACGCGCCAACATGCTCAGCCAATCATGAACAATGTCCAAGTCGGGGCCTTTACTGAGCCATTGTCTTCGCGGCTTCGTTTTTGCTAATTTGGCGCGGAAGCGACGCACCGGCGGGCCGCGTCTTCTGAAGCCGAGCGTTACGAGTCGGCCCCTGCTCGACGGGGACAGGTGCTGCAGCCTCGGTCTCGTGCCGGGGACTGGCCTCCCCTACCCTATCAGGCTCATGAGTCCGATGGACTGCGTTACGATTGACATCGGCGGATTGCTGCCTCTGTACCTGTGGTATAAGTACTTGTCTTTTCTAGTCCTATCTGGGATCAGATAGATAACGGCCTAATATAACCAATTTCCGCGTGAACCAGACATCGGTCATGCATGAACCTATGCAGGGTTTCACCTACTACTGACCGCCGGGATGCGCTCCCCTTACGCTGCCCCAATCTTGGCGATCCCAAAACCCACCTCAGCCAGAAGCCAAATTTCGTCCGCCTTTTTGATGTCGGTCTAATAGAATACAACACCATAAGCACGTGATCATCGGGCGTCAGCAAACATTTATACAAGTCATTTTATATAGGCCATGCCATCTGATATGTATAAATGTGTTGTAGTAGCTGGCCATGTCACTCAAAGTCACCTGTAAGCGTAACAACCACGTTTCCTCTCAAAGTCCTGAAGAAAAAATAGGAGAAACCCATATTGAAACAAGCAATCCAGCATTATGTTGAGGAACATGAGTGTTTTCTGAGATCGCTTGTTGGATGAGCTGGGAAGTGGAAGGACTCCCGTTCCCCATGTC